GGGGGGTTTGGGGGGGATGGTCAGCGTGACAACTGCTAGGGCATTCTTGCGAGTGACAGGCAAGTGGAAGGAATTGATGGCCGGTCATCATTGTTCAAAGGGTCATACCAAAAACGCACGCAACCGCGAGGACTTGGTTGATTGTTTCCCTGGGGGGTGGAGTTTGGAGTTCGGACACTCACTGGATATGCACAGAATTCGGTTCAGGAGCACGGTAGTAGATCCCGCTCGAGGAGCTGCAGGATGCTTCCACGAAAGCTTCCATCGCTTGCGCAGCTTCCATTTGCGGTGCGGTGCGGTGCAAGCATGGCCATCATTTCATTTAACGAAGTGTTGGAGGCTTGGGAGCTGGGGACGTGCCAATGTGGCCTCAAAGATGTTGCTACTTTACCTGTGTTGGAAGAAGCAACGGAAGCTTGTAGTGTAATAGTAAGGTTGGATAGAGGCTCGCGGAGCTATTGTATAGAAACTGTATCTGCGACCGAGAGCTGTTGCTGTCATAAGGTTCTGGAATCATGGACACATTGCGTGTAAGGCTGAACTGGACCTGGACGTGAGTGCAAGGGGGGGAGAGGCGATAGCTGTGGCCGCACCGGTTCACCTATCGCCATACTTGTACCTGGGACTGAGAAGCGGCTTTGCGTGCATGCCATTCCGGCAAAGGGACTCGTACTATGAGATGTAGCATTTGTTTATTTATGTCAATTGGTGCTTGCTGGTAGTATACTAGTACGAGTATTACTTGATCTGGACTGGAACTGGATGCCAGCATTGCCAGGCGCATAAGAGTGATGACCCCAATCCGGCCTAGCGCACAGCGTCTGTGGTCGGAGATATTTGAGCCCTGTCGCCGCGTTGCTTTGCTTTCCTCTGTTTTGCTCGCTGCTGCTGCTGCTACTGGCGTACTAGAACACTGCTGCGAGTCCGCGACTGCCCTACTCCCCTACTCCCCTTCTGCCCTCGACTCTTTTCCTCTCCACCAGAACCAGCACCACTCCTCGCTACGAACAAGCGAAACCACGCGAGCCCGCAATACTGGACTGTACCCGTACGAGGACAAGCGGACGGCCAGCCAGAGATAATTGCCGCCAGACCAGACCACCTGCGACGAGTGCATCCGAATAGCCTCATTCTTGACGGAAGCGTGGTGGTTGACAAAATCTCTGCGCGGCTTTGCGCGTCTGACGAAAAAGGGCCTCCGGATTTTATGGCGCAGCAGAACCAGAACCATCGCAACTCACACGCACTTGCACTCACACGCTCACCACCACCACCACCACCACCACACCTACCATCACCACGTCTCGCAGCCATCCGCATCCGCATCCCCATCTTCATCGTCCATCCCCATCGCCGTCGCCGTCTCCCTTCCCCTCTGCATTAATCCCGCCCGACCACCAAGCATCCCTCCGCAGAGTAGGCCTGCGCCATCCTCACCTTCAATGTCGAATGCGCAACCTCAGGGTGGCCAGCCTGTGAACCCAAACGCCTACCCAAGCCCTTCCTACCCGTCGCCGTCGCTCTCGAACAACAATTCCTCCTACAACTACCCCCCTCCGAACCCTCAGCAGGGTGAGCCGTATCGCGCAAGTCCCACCGGCAGCACCAACTCGGCTTCATTGTCGCTGCCCTCGATGCGCACCCTCGACCCCATCCAGCAGCAGCAGCAACAGCAGCAGCAGCAGATCATGAATTCCGGTCTTCCACCCGTCGCTCCTCCAGGCTACTACCACCCCAGCCAAGGGCTGCCGCACCCGCACCATCAACAACCACCGCAGTATAATATCACGTCCGACCCAAACGGACAGAACCTGCGATACCAACTGCCACAGCACGACGCGAGAGTCATGTCGGGCGGTCGTCACAAGAAGGTGAGCCCGTGCCAGCCCCCGGCGTCCTCGATCCCAGCGGGGCGCAACTCGATGTCGGCCCTCATCGTTTGTCGTGTATGCTGACGTGCCATCGTGTAGGAAATCAAGCGTCGCACCAAGACCGGATGCCTCACCTGCAGAAAGCGCAGAATCAAGGTCAGTTCGCCGTGTTTCCTCTGCGCCGTCGTTCGTGGTTTGTCGGGTGAAGAAGGAGGTTTGAGGTTCTTCGCGATGCGTTCACTTTCGTTTATTGCAAGCGAATCTACCTAAGTCTTCGCTTGCAAAGGCACATGTGCTCGCTGGCCTGCTCAAGCCGCGCGAGCGACGACAAAATCGCGAAAAGCCTCAACTCGACGCGAATCTTTTTCTCCCATCACCACCGTTTCCCCGGCTGGCGTGAGAACGTTTCCCGTCCGCATCGTCGCCCCCTTCTGCAACAGCTCCCTCCAGTACCTACCCTTGCTAACCTCGCGATCAGTGCGACGAAGCCCATCCTGCCTGTCGTAACTGCCAGAAGTCGAAGCGTGAGTGCATGGGATACGACCCCATCTTCAAGCAACAGCCAGGTACGGCCGCAATCCAAATTGCCCCATCCTCTGCTTCCGCTCAATCTGGTTTAGCAGCGACGGCCAATCCCTACCAAACCCAACCGCAGATGTCATACGGCATGCCTCCTGCCACGACGATGGGTTACGAGAACTCCCTCTCTGCCGGTGTCAGTTCGCCCGGGTCCGCCAACCAGAATCAGTTCGACCAGAATAGCTATATTGATCCCGCCCTCGAGGCAGCAGGCCCGGCCAGCGTAGGAGGATACCAGTCTAGTTCAGGTATGCCACAACTCCTTCACGATACACTCCGCCGAGAGATGCACAGTGCCAGCCCCTACTCTTCAAATGCGTCCGACACCCCGCATTTGCGAGGCGGTGCTTCCTCTTTTGTCATGTCCCCTTCAATTGCATATTCAGAGGAGGACGACGCTTACACCATTGTTCCAGCCAGACGAACCGTTGCCCAGCTTCTCAACCTCGGCGGTTCCGCACCCGCATCTTCCCCTGCCGACCTAAGCCAGCTACAAAACCGTCTCGAAGAGAGCAAGCATCTTTATTATTCCATATATGCGCCTGGACTGGAGAACTTCCTGGAGACGAAGTGGTTCTCGAACAAGGGCCTGAACCAGATGTTGGGCAACAAAGAGCTAATGGACCAATTTGGGGTGCTCCTTCATCAATTTGGAAAAGTAGCGCAACAAGATCCCAAGGAGATGGCGTACACAGCTAGCATCGAGGCCAGAATCGTTTGGTCCTTAGCTAACATGGTCCGTCAACGAGTCGGCGGCGACATGAACGGTAACAAGGAGTTGCGAACCGTCCCGGCCATTGACGATCCGATGGAGGCAGCAAACCGACTGTCGATTTTCGAAAGCCTCTTGACGAGCAAGGTAGCTACGTCTAATCCTTTAACAGCTCCAGTCCCTGGAAGCACCGATCATCACCGCCTCCGCGAGCTCGAGTTCTGGCATACGCTTGGCAACTTTGTCTGCCTGGAAGAGGACGATCAAAGTGTCACCGTGCCAAAGGACACGGACGACATTTTGGCAAACCTTCGGAATCTTCTTGACGGCAGGGAGAACCGAGATGTGCTTTACTCCATCGCGGTTGTGCGAGCTATTGGCCCTCGAATTCAGGAGTATACCCCAAACGAGACACCGCTACATCTTGATGAGAGCGACAACAAAAGCAAACTTCTTGTGGCGAAGAAGTTTGTTCAAGATGAAGCACAAGGCCACGGGACAACCAATGTCATTCGCCGCCTGTGTGAGTTAGCAGCAAGATCTTGGTCTATGCCTGCTCCTGCTCCTGCTGTAGCTGCACCAGTCGGTGCAAATTAAATTCGCTGTTTCTCCTCTGCCACACTCTCTAGAACTTGGGCGTTATTCCAAAACAGAGGATAACTAATTGAACACCCAACTTCACATCACTCGGCGCAACGGAATACTTAGGCGTTGTTTGCATTCTCATTTCATTTGTCGCTGCATTAAAGGGGAAATATTGGGTTCTCATACTTTGTCGACTCTGCTTGGCACTAAATCGAAGCATCGAAGCTAGACACGGATGGGGAAATACATTCTGTTTCTTTTTTACCAGCGCGCAATGAGCAACAACACCAGATGTAAGCTTAGGAGGAACCGGGGACGACAAAATTTCTTGTCTTTTTTTATTTTTTCTTTCTTCTCCTTCATTGCGGGAGCTTGGTAGACTCAGGGGAGAAAAAGGTACCAAAAATATAAACCTGGTTCAGTAGAACGTGCCATGTTCGACTCTATTCATCTAGAAATGGATCTGGAGATTTCCGAGCGATTGGAAATTTGACTGAATATGGTAGAAGAAGATTGATAGCAGTCTGTCAACGGTTGTCGATCATCGGATGGAGAGAAAGTCTTATCTTTGAGGAATGTTATGATAGCGGGAGGAATGAATACCACAGCCGAATTATATTTCTCAATTGAATCGTGATTTAATGATGCTCACTACGAGATAATTTGTGATGCTTAACGTACGGAGTAGCAATACTCGGTCACGGATACCATCTGACACGTGACAGAACAGATTTCGCGCTAGTGGCCTAGCGTACGCTAAGGATTTAAGCTACAGGAAATTCTCAACTGCCAAAATATTGATTCTTCTCTTACCAACACTGCCATTGCAAGTTCTCAACCACACGACACATCATGATATTTTCCTGATAACTATTGACTAGCGATTATTGTGTGGGCGGATGTGCATATGAGGTGAGCATCGAGTATTTCATTTCTCCTCCCATCCTTCAATGATGAGCAAAACACACAATTGAACAATCCAACTCTTACATCATTATGGTGATTTGTATTTTATTCTGATACACATTTGCGCACTACTCACCACTTGTCGCAGTCATTGGATGTAAAGCTAATCAATCGCAGACTTCTTTGGGATTTCTCTTGCCGCTACTACTCCTCATCTGGATTCTCTTAAAGGTTTGTGCGAGATTTTATATGCTTTTTCATCGCCATCGCTTGGGGTGTGATGATCAATTGACACTATAGGAATTCCTCATTCTGAAGTTATCATGTAGATTCTGTCTTTTAAAAGTTTCAGCCTTGTCTGACCCCTACTTTATCCTGGCACATTTATTCTCAACACTTGATAGCCTTTTGCTAATGCTCGTTCAGGTACATACACTTTCCAACACCCTCCATTGTCTCTCCCACATACATACTATGACGAACTTTGAACGAACGGGCGGACAGACTGCGCACTCTCCACTTCTATTCCTCATTAAAGCAAGGCGTACAAACCTTGTTGGGGTAGTCAGTAGAGAAGTGCTTGTTGAGAACTCGTCAGCTGAGCTATTACAATTTGCGACCTGTCATTCGGTGGTTTGCGGTGTAGCAATACTTATGCTAACGTCGCTCATTCACAGGTAAAGATGTTCTCTTTCTGTCGGCTGAGACTATGGCATCACATGATGAAACTTATTCACACTGTTTGAGATCTTCGGATCGCTGAACGTATAACAAAAATTCTGATTTAATGAGGTTCGTTCTAATCTCCGCGTGCGTCCTACCACCAGCTAATGAGTCTGCAGCCTGACAATATGCCAATGCCTCTCGATAAATTTGACCTTGTTATGGGACGAGCTGTCGCTAATGCTATTATCGCGACTAGGGACTTTTACACCCTATCCAATGAAGAGTTTTCTAGGTAAGACCGGTGTTGTCTCTTTATGTCCTATTATATTCTGATGAATCCAAATATTCGCTGTGTTCTTTCTGAGTCAAATCAATGACAGAAACATATATTTCACCTTGGAGAACTGAGAAAAGTTGTTTGACTTGTCATATGTATCCCGAGAACCGGAAATGTAATCAGTCTAACTCATTTCTAGCTAAGGTCAGGATAAGACGTCCCCGTTACAATGAGGGGAATCAAGTATTACGCAGCAAAATATAATACAACATGTGGTTCAATAGTCTCCTCCATGTCCCAGTGCTGTGCCATCATGCTCGAGTGCCTTTGACGCCCCCATTGAACGAGGTCCTAACTTGTGGGCGATGTTGTTCTGTCTGCCTGGAGTATCCGTCTGTATGCAAGATCTTCCTATAGCACCAGATAACCCTCCTCTACCTCGTGCTTTACGACATCGCACTGGGAATCCATATCACTAAAACACATTTTATATCTCCCAAAATACGTAGTGAGCTTGTGTAGGGCGTAGTCGTTCGAGTAGAAATTGTTACGCTACGTACAGCTTTTTGAAACCCTCAATCAATCGTCGTCGTCGTCATCAGATCCATAACTGACAAGTGCAGTTACTTTTGAAAGTTTTGTGCCCTCGCCGTGGTGTTCCGACGTAGCATCTGAAACATCCCCTCGAGTTGCTGCCGAGGAGACAGTGTCTACTTTGGCCGCGTTAGGCTCTTTGACTTCTCGAGTTTTTGTCAAAACACCAGGCTCCTGAGTCTGCGCATGATTATCAGAAGTGGATGACCTTCGAATCTTGACGCCTTTTAACCCATCTTTGTCTTTAACACGCTTGCGTTTTCTTCCACCAGCTATCCAAGCCCCCTCTGCAACTTGCGACCCAATGCGTAGCTGCGCGGTGGGTTCATCTCCTGTCCTAGCCTTTCTATCGGCCTCGTCCTGTTGTTGCCTGAACAAAGCTAACCCCTCCGCTGTCTCCTTCTTCACTCGCGCCTCCTCAGCCCGTGTGCTCTCGAGGACCGAGTCCAGAAACTCTACCTCGTCCTGGTCCAAGGCCCGGAATTGATTCTTCAATCTATTTGCTTCTTCGAATGCATCTTGCTTGGCGGCTATTTGTTCAAAGCACACCTGCGTGATCAGCCCACTTGCAATTTGCGTATCAAGAATGTCGTGAGTCGGAAGATACCTTTGTTTGCCTCTAGCGTCTCGTACAAGCTCTTTCCATCCGTTTGGCGACGAGCCTCGATGGCTTTTTTCTGGATATTAGCTTCAATTTCTCGCTGTGCCGAAAGCCATGCCTCGTCTCGCGCGATGGGGGCATCTGCTGTTCCGCCCGACACGAATCCGGAAGACATGATGGCAGAATTGGCTGTTAAGGTGGTCGTGTATCGAGTCTCGCGTCGGGAGCGTTGGGATTACCTAGTTTGCCTCGATGGGACGTCCCGATGTCATCGGCGAAGTACGAGAAGTTGCCCGCTTGCCCGGGACCTGAGCTCCGGGCCGTAAACCATTCTATGATCAGAGGTGAAATCGTAGGTATTCACACCAGATTTCGGTTATGGCGCCAATTCAGATGGTGTGCATTCATCTGAAAGAGACACAGTATGCATTAATTATAATTTACTACTTTTCGCATTCTCCCCCCCTGGAACCCCTTTTCACCACCTCAAGGACATCCAGCTCCGGCACTGCTTGTCCACATTCGGAAGCATTATCGCTCCGCTTCGGCCGAAACCCCCCTCAACATGATAGGCGCGCATCGCCGTGGACCAACGTCCGTCTCGTTTTTAGGCTAAACAACGACGAGGGAATCGCTTCTCGTTTCCAGAACCGCCATCATTGCGATCACTCGCAGTCTGCCACCATGCAAGTCTGCACCCACGATCCACTTAGGTGGGATGTACCCCGGCTCCCGCACTTTACCCCTCCCTGGTGGTCGGTTTCGCCTCCTTGAACGTTGTGTGCTGGTGGTTGCTGGTGGTCGCCTACGCCATTTCGGTGTATCTATAAGTGGGATGCTGCCGGCGCGGGAGTCCAATTTGCTCCATGTCAGGGCATCGAGGGACACAATGGCGGATCTCGACATCTCGGATTGGCAGATTGGCACAAGAATCTGTAGTTTGGCGTCATCTAGTGGGCTTCTACCAGTACGGCTTCGTCGTTGCGTAACCATACGAGGGCCTACCCTACCCAAGCTTCCAGGAGCCGCTATCTTTTTTCCCTCGCCCTCGCCTTGATGATCCACGAGCAGAAACAGCTATAAGTATAGCTGGACCTTCGCAATTTACCCACGCCTCCTGCCCTTGTTTCCCACTCTCACTCTCCCGATTATCTACCAAACCACCTAGGCATCCCTCCCTGATTCCTCCGCAAAAATGTCTGCAACTTCGTAAGTCTAGCCTCCTTCTGCCCCGGGTCAAAGCCGCATTCATGTCGCAGCAGAAGCCTGCGTCGACTGGCGAGCGTGACCTCGCATATCTCCTCCCGAACATACAGCTCACACCTTCATCTTTCCAGAAAGACTTATACTCTCAATACCGGGGCCAAGATCCCAGCTTTAGGTCTCGGAACATGGCAATCTGGTCCTAATGAGGTCGAGAAGGCGGTTGAGATTGCTCTCCGAAAAGGATACCGTCATATCGATACTGCCGTATGTACAATTATTGCACCGCAGGTTGGTGGTAGGAGCGCTGACCCATCATATAGCTTGCCTATGGCAACGAGGCTGAGGTTGGTCGAGGAATCAAAAACTCTGGCGTTCCTCGGGAAGAAATATGGCTTACTACCAAGCTTGACAACCCATGGCACAAGCGGGTGTCTGAGGGAATCGATTCTTCCTTGAAGTCTCTTGGTGTTGACTATGTTGATCTCTACCTCATGCACTGGCCGTCCTCCACAGATCCAGATGACCTGAAGAAACACTACCCAGACTGGAATTTCGTCAAGACATGGGAGGAGATGCAAAAGATCCCATCCAGCAAGGCGAGAAACATTGGTGTCTCTAATTTCGGCATCAAAAACCTTGAGATTCTCCTCAACGACCCGACTTGCAAGGCAAGTAGCTTCGTTTTCCCGCGATCATTTGCCGTCGCTAACCTTATCGTGTAGAAAGTACCAGCAGTTAACCAAATCGAGCTTCACCCAAACAACCCTTCTCCAAAGCTTGTCGCATATAACAGTTCCAAAGGCATTCACAGCACTGGGTACTCTTGCCTCGGGTCCACTGGTTCTCCTCTTTACAAGGATCCAACCCTCCTGTCTATGGCTGAAGCCAAGGGCAAAACTCCTCAACAAGTTCTTCTCGCTTGGGGACTTCAAAAGGGCTGGTCGGTCATTCCCAAGTCAGTTAACAAGGAGAGAATCGAGAAGAACTTTGAACTCGACGGATGGGACTTAACTGACGAGGAGGTGAAGAAGTTGGATGGTCTTAAGGATCGATTTAAGGTGTGTGGCGATGCTTGGTTACCAGTCAAGGTCTTTTTTGGGGATGACGAGTAAAAACCTGGAAGCGGCCGGAAGAGAAATAATCTAGCACCAATTATAAAAGATTCCCATTTGTATATCTGAGTTGCCAGCACATTTGCAACCCCTGTACGAACAACAATTTATCCGCACAAACTGGACCACGTAGCGGAATTCCCGTGAGATGCATGAAAGCTAATAGACGCCCATTCTCAGACTAATTATTCTGCATTGATATAACGAGCCGGATCACGCTGAAGTTGTAGGAATGAATAATGAAGGAAATCTCGGTTGGCAGACAAAGCTGGTCCTGCTCTGGCCATCGAAACCCATGATTGAAGGCTAAGGTCTGGGCCTCGGCTCTTGTGCACTCTACCTCCCTCCAAATAATTCCTCGACCTGCCGCATCATCTCAATCTCAGCCAAAACTACCGGCATTCGACAACTGCCAAACTCAATGCAGTAACATTTCGCCCGAAGTGCAGGACAAGAGCACAGAGATGCCCTCCTCCTCGACTTCCAGTTGTCCCTTTTGTACGATATCCCAAGCGCATCCTCCGTCATCCACTCCTTCTCACAACCACGAACTCACCGACCCGCCATCATTCGTAGTCCTTTCCACGCCCTTGGTTCTGGCCTTCCTGGACATTCTACCCCTAGCGCCAGGCCATCTTCTCGTCACCACGCGTCAGCATCATGAGAAAATAAGTGATGTGTCAGAAGAGGAGGCTGTTGAGCTGGGCCGATGGCTACCAAGACTAAGTAGGGTTAGTGCACGGGTGGGCGAGGTGTGGGATTGGAACATTGTGCAAAACAATGGTATGTTTATCGCCTTGGTTACGGTTATCTGGTGAGTAGAATATCTGCTGAAAGTGCAACAGGAGCAGCAGCAGCACAGGTTGTCCCGCATGTTCATTTCCACTTAATACCACGGCCTGGTCTAACACCTGAATTGCGGAATCGAAGTTTCACGATGTTTGGGCGTGGTCAGCGAACCGAGCTTGACGACGAAGAGGCGGTAGTGCTTGCTAGGAAGTTGAGAGATGAGCTCCGGAAGGAGATCGCGAGGCTCGAGGGGGGCAAGTTATGAGTCGAGCTTTGGCTGATCCTAAAAGATGAGACATCTTAGCATGGCACAAATCATAGACGGATTATTGCGTGGGCGCCATCGAATTGACATAAAAGGCATTATCAGCTTCAAGTGATATGGTTGGATGATCAGCATAGACACAGCACATGGATAGAGGAAGCCTCAGTGGGTTTTGAAATTAGCGAATGCGAGTGGACTTTACAACATGTACTATTTAGATAGTGTTACATTTGCAGGGCATTTTGGCGCCGGCTGCAAGATTGCCATATATGATGGAGAATCCTGGACGTGTTTCTACTCTCACTTCTTGAAGAGGATGTAGCTCTTAACAATAGTGCTGGATAGGCAATCTGGGGCGACCCTTTGCCAGCTAACATTTTACTTAGAAAATGCCCCCTGGCATACTCGTGGCGTTTGTCTTTATCTATTCTATCACCATGAGAACCAGTAAAGGAGGACCATGTATCATGTCGGCATCTTTGGCGTCCTTCACAAGGCTCCGGGCACTTTCGAGGGTAGCTCAGAGCGTTTAGAATTATGTCAAACAATGCGGGAAAGCGTCGGTGCTGCAGCGTTCACCTGAAAGCAGCCTTGAAGCCTTTGAAGTACCCTTTGCGGAATGGATTCAATTCATCGGCGCTGACTCCTTGGGGTTCCACTCTTGCTTCTTGCACTAATGCAACGACCTCTGAATCCGGAATTCTTCTGTAAGTGATGAGCTTCCTCGACCCTAAATAATTAGCCTTTTGTCACTATTCACATGCTTGGGAATTTACTGACATTTGTTGAATTCTTGAGTACAAATGCTGATGACCTCGAGTGCCTGGTGTTGAGGAGGCTTGATCTCTTGATTTTCGTCGTTAGATGTTGGCATCCAAAATGAGATTCGACCGTTGTCAACCAGTGATATAGAAGCAAATTCAAGAATGTCATCTAGCATTGCTAGGAAACTGTATGGTTTCTTCGGAGGTATATATGCGTCCATGCTGATATCACATTAGCGAATACCTCACTGCTCGCTCCCTGTACCTACGTGTGATGAGCTATACCATCCCTGACAACTGGCTCTTTTGACTTTGTCGGATCTCTGCTTCCCAGTACTTTCAGCCCTTCTCTAATTCCGTAAGGAGGATCACACAAGATGCCGTCAAACACCCTCGTACACCTCAGTGGTGTGTTTGTGAGATCTGCTATAAAGCTATCGCCAAACATATCAGTGATTCCATATTGGGCGAAGTTTGTTAGCAAATTGGGCTTTTGACCCCCCTTTCCTCGGATACTTCGACCGTCAATGTCACTTCCAAACACCAGGGCGCCAAAGTGTGCGCAAGCCACTGGGAAGCTGCCTGAGCCGACAAAGGGATCATACATAAGTCTGCCTGGAGCAGCAAGTGTAATGTTGGCAGTAATTAGAGCCAGCTCCGCATCCATAGATGTGGTGCAAATATACTTCCTCTTCTTGAGGTCGTACGTACCGATAGAGTCACGATCACTTGCACCGACGAATCTGCCCATATGGACAGAATTCGGTTCACAAATTCCGCGTCGATGAGCCTGAAACTCCCATTCTTCGAAAAGCCAGAACTCTTGTTCTGCGCCTTTCATTTTGATCGGTCCTTCAAACTCAAGAAAACTGAGGCTCTCTATAAGCTCTCGTTGGGCTGCGTTAGAGCGTGCACCCTGAAACGAATCGACTGAAAATTTGAAAGAGGATTTTTTGTATAAGGGCCACAGATGCTGGGATACATTGCGAAGATTGAGATGAAGATCCTGGTGGCTGGAAGCACTTCCCCAAACTTCATAGACTGCTTTAGCGAGGATGCTCCGCCTGATTAACTTCGCAGCAGCCTCTTCAGATTGAAGCTTCACAAAGCAGAAAGGTGACTATGGCTGATGGTAAGTTTGACGTCGAGAGGTAGGTAATGAGTCGCACTCACGCTTGGACTGTATGAAAGGACTTCTAGGTCAATTCCGTGAAGAACTGCTAAAGCCCGGATTTCTGGAAGACGAAAGGTCTCATGGACATGCGTGAATCTAATCATGTAGTCCATGATCAAAGTCACTATTCGGGGTTCTGTGCCTGAGATAATACATGAAAGCTGGATCTGTGACTCTGGTGCAGGAGACTTTTGGCTGCCCAGGTGTTTCTCAAGCTTGTGAATCGTGCCAGCGGCCCACTTTCGCTTAGCACCACCAGTGCTCACCTCAAGTACGAAAGACTCTATGATGCCGTGGTACTCGCCTTTCTTACACCAATAATGGTGGTCCAATGAACATTCTCATCCTTTTCAATCTCACCCTCCAGTTGGCCGCATCACGTCGAGCGCGATGTTGGACTTTCCAGATGCATGGAAGAGCGAGCAAAATTGCGAAGTTACTCACGGTGTGATGGGCCATCTGGACCCCCAGCAACCGCCGGTCAAGAGGAAGCCATTCTCCGCCATTCTTACCCATCCATTCTTACACAAGGTAATTCGCTCGCATCCCTGGGTCGTTCCACGTACTTATTGGCTCGATAGGTTGAGCTAGTTCTGCCCTCCGAACTGTACGATCTCATAAAAGATGGGCTTTGTAAAAATGTAGAAGCTCCCATCTACAGCCGCGTGATTTTACCACTGGAAGCACTCCTGCAGGGGGCGTTCTTCAACCAGTACATTAAAGTTGGTCCGTACTTAGATACTACTCATATGTGTCGCGGTCTCGTGTCTTACTGTCACAGGCAATATCATGATGCTGTCGGAAGGTAACTCAGAAACTAACAATGTATACTCCCTCAGAGAAGGCAAGCTTCCCATATCGTGTGAATCTGCCCTCCGCTAACGTTTTTGTGGAGGGATCCTAACCCTACATCTGGATAAAGAAAGCTATCAAAAGGCTGGCATAGAGGGTAAGCCGGAAGGAGTAAAGGGGAAGCGAGAGGGAAAGCCGCGATGGGGTTAGTTGTTCTTCTCGTTCAAACGATGTTGACCTGACGAGGCACTAGTTGTTGAGATTAATCTGCGCCTTCCATCCATGCTTCATGGGAAAAAGGGCTTTGATAGAATCGTCTACGCGTTCAAAAATGTCTTACAGTCACCAGTCACTTGGTTGTTTCACGACCTAACCATGGGCGGTTCGATTCCTTGATGAGCTGATATCGAGCTATGCTAACTAATTTTCAAGCCTCGGGATCCGATATACTTGCCTCGCATTTTCCAAGCGCAAAGGTCTGCAATCCGATGGTGATCGAAAATTTCACATGCGACGTTCCAAATTTCAGAGCACCTACCGATAATATTCCTGCCAATGATGGCGACTTTGAGGACTACTCTGTGGACATGTACGAATGGCTGGCACTGATGCTTCTCCAAAGCCCACGAACATTCAAGGACGACAGAATCGATCCTCTTCTTTCTCGCTGCCGGGCTCCAGGGATTTCCGTCACAAGTAGTGGCCTTGTCAAAGTCACATGGCAAGGGTTTCTTTCCCCTATGTGGGCCCACAAGACTTTCGTCGAGATGCTGCTCACCCTTCCAAGCGATGGTTGGTTTGCGTTCGTTGTGGGTGGCTTCAGCGATGGATGGTTTAGAAACTGTAGAAGTAGCACGATACTGAAACTTCCGGATGCCTCGAACGAATACATGCTTTGGGATATAGCGTGACACCGAGGAAGTTGTCTCAGCTAGTACGTCTTCTTACGTCCCTCTCATGTCCTATGTCACCTCTAATTGCTTCCGTGATGAGTTCTCTCAGTTGTGCTTGACCAACTTCGCCCTGAAAATCTTCGCGGGCTGCTAACTCCTCAATTCTCCTCTTGAACTCTTGGTCAACCACCTCATCTCCAATTTCATCTGGTGCGAGTGTCCCTATGTTGATCTGCACTCCTTCAGGGATTGCGAGAGGTTGATTGGAAGTCGATTCAGAGGCGACAGAAGCGTCGTGGGCCTGTGCTACGCCGTTTTCCAGCTGCTTTATCCGTAGATAGACTGCAACCTCAGGAAAATCGCCTTCTTCGGTGATTTTCTCGAGAGCAGTTGTGCCATCATCCCCACGGAGAGAAATGCTTGCGTGCAGCTCTTCCACCAGCGTCTTCGCACACTCCACAGTTTCCACCACGAATAGAGCGGTCTCTCCGTCTTCGTCTTTCAGATTGACGTCAACATGGAACTCATTGACGAGTGTCCGAAGAAGATCGATGTGATTGTACGAGGCGGCGGCGTGGAGAAGAGAATATCCATGCTCGTCCTGTGAAGATGCGAGTGTGGGGTCGGATCGGAGTAAGGGCAGTAGAGTGGGAGAGTTGTCGGCAGCCAACAGGAATTGATTGGGCTGAGAAGGGGGCATGTTCGACGGACGGATAGCAGGTGTGGTGTGGCACAATTCGATAGTTGTCTGATATGGTGTCGTGGGGTTGTGTTGAAGAGTTGCAGCCAACGCCAACCTCGACCTAAACAAGGCTGAGAATAAATGGGCCTTCCCGCAGGTGCAGAGTTGTGCAGTGTCACGCCATCACGTGACTGCGATCAGACGTAGCAAAGAAGCGAATTTCTGGAATCGATTACCGTTGAAATCTTAACAACACTCCTCGCTCGAGCTTGTAACAGTCAGGCGCTCTTCGTTTCTTCGATCGAGTCTGCCTGAATTAGGTCTGACTCAATTGTCCTTGCGGCTTTCTTCCATACTTGTTTCACCAGTATTGGCTAGGCGCGCGGCGGGCTACCTACAGCCACGACCGGCGTGTAGTCATTCACTCAGCCCTCAAGTTGAGGTCGCATAGTGTTTGGCCAGGGGTGCCATCCGTAGTCCAAAGGAACACTTCAAAAAGCTGATCCTACTGCTCGGTTTGTAAATGCGCTCTGGTCTTTCCAAACATCTTTTCTCGGTGTTCTCTTCACTGCGACTACTTAGCCCTCCACTGGTACCGCTTTTGCCAACTGTTTCTCGTCGCACTTTCGCCATGGCGACCGCCAACGTTCCCTACGCCAAACAGGATACCCAAGAAGTCCAAAGCTTGATCCGAAGTCTAGAAGCAAGCATCGGCAAGGGCAAAAAGAGTAAGGGTTTTAGTTGCAAGTCGGCCAGCTTCAATGTAGCTGGCTCGCCCAACAATCTTCTCGTTCATTCATGGCGCTTCCAAGACTGGGACTATAAGCTTGATAACCTCCCAACATATGCTCGCGGTCTGTTTACGGGTAAGAACGAGCATGGCCAAGCGGAAATTTGCGTCCGTGGCTATGACAAGTTCTTTAATACCGAGGAGGTCAACGCTACCAAGTGGAGGAATATCGAGAACAACACCAAGGGCCCTTACGAACTAAGCCTCAAGGAAAACGGCTGCATCATTTTCATGAGCGGTCTGTTTGACGGTACCCTGCTTGTTTGTAGTAAACACTCGACAGGTGCAAGAGGCGATACCCTTAGCCATGCCAAAGCTGCTGAGGCATGGGTAGACAAGCAGCTGGCGGCCATTGGCAAAACTCGAAGGGACTTGGCCAAAGAGCTGAGAACCAGAAATGCTACCGCGGTCGCTGAATTGTGTGATGACGACTTCGAGGAGCACATTCTTGCTTATGGGAAGGGCGATGCCGGACTCTATCTCCATGGAATAAATATTAACCTTCCAGAGTTCATGACATACCCGGGCGACCAGGTTCAAGCATTCGCCGAACAATGGGGGTTTCGTAAAACCAATTATTTGATTCGGGAGGACATTGAAAGCACGAAGAAATTCCTCGAGGAGGTAGCTGAAACGGGCCACTACGATGGGCGAGACATTGAAGGCTTTGTTATCCGGTGTAAGACCAAAATAGGTGGAAAAGGTCCATATGTGGACTGGTTCTTCAAGTACAAGTTTGAGGAACCTTATTTGATGTACCGGCAATGGCGCGAGTGCACAAAAGCAATCATCTCCGGAAAACCACCACGCTTTCGAAAACACGTCTCGATTACCGAGGAATACCTTCTCTATACTCGCAAGAGACTCGCGCAAAACCCGCGGCTTGGAAATGCCTATCAGCAAAACCATGGTATAATCCAGCTGCGTGACGACTTTTTGAAAGAGAAAAATCTCAAGGGATCAGACATTATCCGTCAAGAGTATGCTGCCTTAGGGGGTGCACCTGAAGATGTATCTAGTAACGTTATTCTTGTGCCTATTGCAACTCTAGGCTGTGGTAAAACCACTATTGCACTTGCCCTAGCACATCTGTTTGGCTGGGGCCACGTCCAAAACGACAACATCACTGGAAAAGGTCGGCCCCCAAGATTTACAAGAGAAGTGCTGAACCTCCTCGCGGACCATCCAGTGGTGTTTGCGGATAGAAATAATGCTCAGAGACATGAAAGGACCCAGCTTGTGGGTGATGTCCATTTGACACATCCTCATGTCAAATTGGTTGCACTCAATTTTGTGCACACACCACAGTCGCTCGCGAAAATCCGGGAAATCACCCAAGCTAGAGTCTTGAAACGTGGAGACAATCATCAAACCATTCAGGCGGCTTCTGACGCAAATAAGGTCATCGGCATCATGGAGGGGTTCATTCATAGATTTGAAGCACTTAATCCGCACGCCCAACCTGACGACGGTTTTGATCATGTTATTGACCTTGACCCTACAAAGGACTCGAGGGAAAACCTGGAAACTGTCATCTCCCAACTCAACGCTACTTACCCAAAATTGTTCACCGACATGCCCTCGGGTGAGGATCTCGATGATGCTATTGCGACTGCGCTGAGTGAATATAAACCCGAGATTAGGCATGAGATCGGTAAAAACGGGGGTCCAAAAGGCAAGGGACCCAAGAATCAACCAGTGAGTGTGACCCCAGATAACTTGTCCCCTTGGAAACTGTTCCTAAGTCATTATAGAAACAGCAGCCTCAGAAAGTCAGTAAACCGCGCCCACTTGAGTACATATCGGTCAATTTACCCAAAGGTGAAATTGAAAATGTTCTAGATGAAACATTTGCCTCTGTGTCTTCGAATAAGGCGAGATTCTTCCGACAATTGCAAGAATCCCGTCGAGTTCAAGTTGAGTTTCATGTCACCCTTATTCATCGCGCTTCATCAAAGCAGCATCCAGAACTTTGGGAGCGATATCATGGTTTACACCTAGCGAATGATGCGTGGGAAAATCGATTAGGGGAATGCCAAGTGCAGCTCGAGAGAATCGTATGGGATAACCGAATCATGGCTATAGTAGCTCGTATTGTCGATGAGGAGTGGCAATGCAGTAACGAGATAGCACATGTTACTGTGGGTACGAGAGGAGATGATGTCAAGCCAAAGGAGAGCAATGAAATGTTAAAACGATGGGCCTACGAGGGAAGTGGTGACTCTACTGGCATCGGAGAAATTGCTATTCGGGGCGGAGTCGTTATTAAAGGGATCGTGAAGACTGTTGCATCCAGGTAGGGATGAGCTCAGGGAAAGGGTAAAAGCTTGGAGCATATGAATTGGACCCATGAGATGCGTGTTAGCATAACATACGAATGCATAACAATGTAACACAGTATTCGCAAAGGCAGACATTTTACTTTGTACTTAAGTAGAGATATAGAGGCAGCTCAGATGTATCTGGTATTTAATATTCCCTTAATACATTCATAATAAAGGGTTCTGAAGGCTGTCACATCGTGGCACAAAAAAAGTAGAGCAATCACAATAGCAGTGACCCAGACATTTTTAAGACGAGCAACAATCCGAGTCGATGTAGCAGGTCATCTAACGTGGACAGAATGAGTATTCTCCGGCACCGTCGATAGATCATCCGTAAATCGTCTAAACTCAATCGTTACCTGGGTATTTCGGCGTAGAACGCATTATCGTTACCCTAGGACGAGATCGACCCGAGTATTCCGTAAAAAGCCTCCATCCAAACATATGCTCGTTGGTGCATGGCATACTTCCACCCAGGGCAAGAGCGGAATGAAGCATAATACAAAGACGATAGTGCTCAACCAGATCGGGAATCCAAGGGATCCCCATACCTTGCTATGTCTTCGTCAGCAAGCCAATTTCCGTGTCTCTGCGCGTGTAAAGACTTACCTGGATCCCAATCTCTATCGACCTGCATCTCGTACGCACGTTGATGCTCTTCGGCAAACTTCTTGGTACTCCAGCTCGATCCGGGCGTTCCAAAATTTGCTTTCGCGCCATTGCCATCGCCATTGACTCGGACGGCGCTTTGATTGGACTGATTGGGCTTCATTTGAGAGAAATTGGGAATCGTGTTTTGGGAGGATAGATGAGGCGGGGAGTCTGGAGCTTCCATCATGACTGCGTCGCTGTCGCCCAGTGCTTGTGTGGATGCTGCAACCGGAACGAATGAGAATGAATGATGAGTTGCGAAAATCGGATATGCTTACAAGACATTGGAGTTTGCAAGCAATTCCCAAAGGAGATATCCTCTCCTAGCGACAAATATTCACCCCCGAGGCGATATGGGCGTTAGTGACTCGTCGTCGGATTAGAGAGAAGTTGAGGCTGAAGCTGAGGCGCGGGGCGCGGACCGACATGGATGGGTTCCAGGTTGCAGGTGGAAACTTACGACCCCGAACCGAGACCACGGAAGCGTCTGAAGTCGTCCTGGCGAATTTCCACACAACACCAGTACTCACATTCGGCGATCAATCAACTGCCGCAAACATGGTCAATAAACCAGTTATTCCAGACGCTTGGGATGATGATTGGGAGTCTCAGGCTGACAAGGAAGAAGGAGGGGTCGCTATTGCAACCTCCGCAGATGTCGTCAAAGTAACCCGTGCAGAAAGACTAGCGCAACACGCCGAAACGAACAAGAAGATTTGGGATTCTGCGTATGGCTCTATAGGTGTCTATCAGGTTGCTATGCTAACCTGCCTTAGGGAAGAGCCTGAAACATTTCATTTTCTTGCTGCGCGCGACACCGTCCCACTAAAGTCAGAGTTCAAACCTGCCCTCAAGGTACTAAGTCGTAAGCCGACGCCCAAAAGGATCCAGAAAATCGATCCCATCACCGGCCTGTCTAAGATGTCATTGGAAGATGACGATGATGAAGTCGTCCAGACTACACAGCCTACGCCTGAAGAGCTCCGATTCAAGGCACAACGAGAGCGAGAGGAGAAGCAGAAGCGATACGATGAAGTGCGAGCACGAATAATGGGCACACCCTTAAATTCTGGTGGTAACTCGCCCGGTGCTAT